TTTCAATTAAAATCCAAATTTTCAACCGATGTCCGTTGGAATTCGGTTGGAATTTTTTTTAAAAAAATTTCCAAAAAAAATTCCAACCGGCATCCGTTGGAATTTTTTAAAAAAAATTTCAAAAAAATTTCCAACCGGCATCCGTTGGAATTCCGTTGTAATTGTTTTCTAACAAACATCCGTTGGAACTCCGTTAAATATTTGCAACCGATTTTTCTAACGTTAATCCGTTGAAAATTTCCAACGGATATCCGTTGGAAATACCGTTGGAAATTTCCAACCCAATTTTTCAATTGAATACGTTGAAAATTCCGTTAAAAATTTCCAACGGGTGTTTCCAACGGATAGCCGTTGGAAATTTTCAACGGAATTTTAACGGAAATCGTCGTTGAAACGCCGTTGAAAATCCGTTGGAAAATCCGTTGGAATTCGAGGATTTTTTTGTAGTGGTCCTCTGCTGTTGCCTTTAATCCTCAAGCACCGCAACAATCCCTCATTAGCATCAACATGTCCAATGTGACAAAACTCACTTCCACAAACTACATCACGTGGAGTGTGCAAATTCGTGCTCTCCTTGAAGGGCACAATCTGGAATGCTTCATTCTAGACAACAACATTGTTCCGGTAGCCATGATCTCTTGTGATGACTCCCTTGTTGCAAATCCGGCCTTCGAACCTTTCCGACAACAAGACAGATTGTTGTTCTCTGCTCTTCTTGACACTATCAGCTTGCCCCTGCAGCCGATGGTAGCACGCTCGCGGTCTGTCCGTGATGCTTGGGCTTCACTTGCCAACATATATGGCAAAGCCTCTCGGGGACATCTTCTTCAACTCAGGGATCAGATCAAAAGATCTACCAAAGGTTCGCAGTCTATCGACGATTATTTGCGATTTATTCTCTCGAAATCTGATGAACTTGCACTGCTTGGAAAGCCTCTTGATCTTGAGGATCTTCTTGATGCCATCTTGGAGGGCTTGCCGGTTGATTTCAAACCTGTCATCGACATGGTTCAGGCAAAGGACTCACCTATCTCTGTGGAAGAACTTCATGAGAAACTGCTTCACCATGAAGCCAAGCTCGCCATCTCGTCTGTTGTGACGCCATCTCTCTTCCCTGTCACGGCCAATGTTACCAACCCACGGTCGCGACCAGCCTTTCGTGGCAATGGTCCTCCCCGAGGCCATCATATGCATCGCCCCACTCATGGCTCTTCTCGTGGCTATCTCGGTAAGTTTCAAGCCTGTGGTGTTCAAGGACACTCGGCTCAGCGGTGTCCTCAATTTCGGCTTATTTCTGCATCAGGCATTCTCGGCGGCTCTCCTCAGTCTTCACCATTTCCGCCATATTCTCCTCGGCCTTGGAAACCCCATGTTAATCACACGGTTATGCAGCAGTATGATGCCTCTCCTTGGCTTGTTGACAGCAGGGCTTCACATCACATTACGTCGGATCTCGACACCTTGTCTTTGCACAGCCCATACCGCGGTGGTGACGAAGTGATTCTCGGCGATGGGTCGAGTCTTCCCATTATACATACGGGTTTTCTCTCGACCTCTTCCTAGACTCGCCCTCTATCTCTTACACATGTTCTTTGTGTTCCGGCAATGCATAAAAAACTTATTTCGGTTTCCCGATTATGCGATTCTAACTCGGTCTCGGTTGAATTCTTTTCTGATTCGTTTCAGGTGAAGGATCTAAACACGGGGGCGGCTCTTCTCAAGGGAAAGCTTAAAAATGGTGTGTATGAGTGGCCGGCTTCCTCTTTTATCTCGTCTCCTCATGTCTCTTTGTCGTGTCTAAAACCCTCGTTGTCTGAGTGGCGCTATCGTTTAGGTCATCCGTCTTTTTCTACTGTCTGTCATGTTGTGTCCAAGTTCAAATTACCATTGTCTCGGGATTCATCTTTTTTTTTTTGTGATTCTTGCTCTCGCAATAAAAGTCATAAACTCCCATTTTCAGAGTCCTCTATTTCTTCTTCTAGACCCCTCGAACTTATTTTCTCCGATGTTTGGACTTCACCCATTCTTTCTATTGATGGTTTCAAATATTACGTTTTATTTGTTGACCACTTCATACGTTATTCGTGGCTATATCCTCTTAAACACAAGTCTCAAGTTCGGGAAACCTTTATTTGTTTCAAATCATTGGTCGAGTCAAAATTTTCATCTTCCATTGTCTCCCTCTACACCGATAATGGAGGTGAATTCATTGCTTTACGGTCTTTTCTTGCTGCCCAAGGTATCTCTCATTTTACTACTCCTCCTCATACCCCCGAACACAATGGTATCTCTGAACGAAAACATCAACATATTGTCGAAACCGATCTCTCTCTTCTTCATCATGCTTCTCTCCCTATCACTTTTTGGTCTTTTGCTTTTACCATGGCCATGTTTCTCATTAATCGTCTTCCCACACCGATACTTTCGATGTCTTTCCCTTATGAGTCTCTCTTCGATTTGTCTCCGAATTATGAAAAGTTTCAAACTTTCGGTTGTTTGTGTTACCCTTGGCTTCGACCTTACAACCAACACAAACTTGACCCAAAATCCTCTCCTTGTGTCTTTCTCGGGCATTCTCTCACTCAAAATGCTTACGTTTGTTTTGACATCCTCACCTCTCACTGTTTGTGTCTCGTCACGTCATTTTTCACCGCTCCATTTTTTCCTTTGCGGACCTCTCTCGATTTCGGCCTTCTCGTCATTCTTTGGATGTCCCGTCTCCGTGCGAAGCTCCTACTTCGTCGGATTCCCTTGCCTTCCCTGTAATTCCCTTTACTCCGCCGGTCTCTCCATCTCCATCACACTCGCCCCTATGTGTAGCTCCTTCGCTGTTGGAACGCTCGGAAGAAGTTCCAGCTGCGTCCTCGCCTGATCCGTTATCTGCCGACATAGCTTCTCCGGCTAGTTCGCTTGCGTCTCCGCCAAGGAATAGACATCCTATGATCACTCGAGGGAAGAACAATATAGTTAAACCTGTGCAAAAACTCACTTTGACTGCATCTTTGACTTCTGTTCCCAGGGAACCGCTCTCGGCTTCACAGGCGCTCACGCGCTCTGCTATGGTTGATGAGTTCAACACCGTCGTCCGTAATGGAACATGGGAACTTGTACCACCTGACTCTGCTGCAAACACTGTAGGTTGCAAATGGGTTTTCCGGGTTAAGACCAATCCGATGGTTCGGTTGATCGGTTCAAGGCTCATTTAGTTGCCAAAGGTTTTCATCAACGTCCAGGTGTGGATTTTCATGATACTTTCAGTCCGGTGGTGAAGCCCACAACCATTCGTTTGGTTCTCAGCCTTGCCGTGACACATCATTGGTCCATTCGGCAACTCGACGTTAATAATGCTTTCCTACAAGGTCGTCTCAATGATGAGGTATTTATGTCTCAACCTCCCGGGTTTGTGGATCGTGATCGTCCGGATTTTGTGTGTAAGCTTCATAAAGCTATATATGGGCTTAAACAAGCTCCTCGCGCTTCGTATTCGGAGCTACGTGGATTTCTACTGGATTACGGCTTTATGAACTCCCTTGTCGATGCATCTCTTTTCTTCTGACGCAACAATGATGCCATTCTCTTAGTTCTCGTCTATGTTGACGACCTTATTGTCACCGCATCAATTTGGATCACATTCAGTCATTCATCTCCTCGCTTGGAGCTCGGTTCTCAATTAAAGATCTTGGTAATCTGTCATTCTTCCTTGGAGTGGAAGTGACACGTACATCTAAGGGATTATTCATCAGCCAACGCAAATACATTAATGACTTGCTTACTCGCACCAAGATGTCGGATTCCAAGGCAGTGGCAACGCCAATGGCATCCACTTCTCGGCTAACCCTTCAGTCGGGATCTTTACTCTCAGATCCATCCGACTTTCGTACGGTGATCGGTAGCCTTCCGTATCTTTCCTTGACGAGACCGGATGTTTTTTTTGCCGTAAACAAGCTATCTCAATTTATGCATGCTCCAACGGACGAGAATTGGCTTGCGGCCAAACGTGTCCTTCGATACTTGAGTGGCACTCGTGAGGCTGGAATTTTCTTTGTCGCGACTAATTCTCGGTCTCTTCATGCCTTTAGTGATGCCGATTGGGCTGGTGATCCTGGTGACTTCAAGTCTACCGGCGCATATGTTATATACCTTGGCAAGCATCCTGTTTCATGGTCCTCCAAGAAGCTTCCTGGTCATTCCCGATCTTCGACTGAGGCTGAATATCGTTCGGTAGCTAATACATCAGCTGAGCTTCGATGGATCGTCACCTTACTCTCCGAACTCGGAATCTCTCTACCGTCGGCTCCTACAATCTACTGTGATAATGTTGGAGCTACCTATCTTAGCTCGAACCCGGTGTTCCATTCTCGCATGAAGCATCTGGCTCTTGATTATCTGTTTGTTCGTAGTCAAGTGACGGATGGTTCTCTTCGAGTTATTCACGTTTCATCAAAGGATCAACTTGCTGATGCCTTGACCAAACCTCTTGCTCGGGCTTCTTTCCATGACCTTTGTATCAAGATTGGACTCACCTCCGATGCTCCATCTTGAGGGGGCGTGTTAGACCATATTTATGATGGTTGTGACTTTAACGTCATGGGAACAACATTCTTCCTCTAGGGAATATCTTCTTCATATTTATGATATTTGTAAATACCATGTTATGCAAACTTCAAAGCATACTTGTACGAGTATATATATGTGTACAATCTGTTGAATAATATTCATTCGAACGTTTACATTTTTAAATACATACATTTACTGCTTTAACAATACACAATAGTATTGTAATACTTTGAAAAAAAAATATGGAATCATAATCATTTGTTGCCACACACAAAATGGCTAAAAACACACTCCAAATTGAAGTTATTTTGATAAGTATGGCAGGAACCTAACTAGGGAATGTGAGCTATCAATTTTCCCTTCAACCTTTGAAACAAATGGGATAGTTGTGCTCTTTCATTTAATAAAGATGCAAAAATAGGGAGAGCATTGAAAGAAAAGATCTAAAAACAGTAACTTTAACCCTTTTTTTTTTGTTAAATATATTTGTATTTATAGAAAACTTTTTTGAGTTTCTTTGACAAATTGTAATTATATGGAAATATTAAAAAAATATATGTTTCTATGGGAATGGAACAAAAGACCCTATAACATTTAAAATTCAACTCAATATTTGCAAGAGTAATAAAGACAATTAATTAGTGTTGTGTATCATTCATCAAAATACATTCTTAAATGTGATAAAGATTGAACGATCAATGGGGATGGATTTCTTACGTCCATATAGTATAATATAGTCACATATATATATATATATATATATATGCCCAAGATTTTTAACTCACATAAATACCAAATATATACAACCATATACTATTGAAGCAAATTCTTAATTAGATGAGAGAGAGAGAGAGAGTGCAGTTCCACAATTTAATGTGAGGCAAAAGCATCAAATGATGAGTGATGTAGAAACAGATGAAGTGTTGGAAGAAGGCCATTCATCAAGGAACCTATGAACTCTCTTGTTCCTTTGCTGTTCTTCTTCTTCTTCTTCTTCCACTTCATGATCTTCACCTTGCTTCATCTTCTTTCCGAGCATCAATGGCGTTTCACGTGCTGCGATATCCGTGCCCAATATGAAGCAATGATGGTTTGGCTTCTCATCCTTTGCTGCTCCTCCCACAGAGTAGTAGTTGTTGTTCCTATGCTTCTGGAAGTACGAGGATGCAGCCAGAGGCGTGAATCCCCGCGAACCATCCACCATTGATGAACCAGAGAAGCTTCTGATCGACCCAGAAGGTTCTGTGGAGAAGAAGTCGTCCATGTACACACCTCTCCTTCTTCCCCTTCACCGTAAACCAAAGACATCGCTAAGTTCTTCATATATCCACTTATTTCAGGACAAACAGTAAAATCATGGGCAAAACGCTGTAGCTCTGTTTTACAATGGTGTTTCTGATTCATTACAGAACACGAACAGAGACAGAGTTATGCCTTAAAAGCCTACCTGGGGTCATCGTTAGCTGGTCTGGAGAGAGGTGCGGTGTTCAGGCAGAGAGAAGGGAGATTAGCAGTGTCTTTGAGGTTGTTGAAGGAGAAAGTCGACGAAGTTGCAGAAACAGATGAGGAAGAAGAAGAAGTGATTGAGAATTCCACAGGCTTTCTTGAACGGTTCTTGCCTCTGTGCATGTGCCTCTCGCAGTACTTGGAGTCTGGATAGGCTTCCTTCGAGCACCTCCATTTTTTGCCGTCGGTTCTTCTGCATCTTCCTGGTTCAGGATCCATCTTTCTTCCGAATCCCATATCGTACACGTTCCACGAAACTGCATAAACAAATAGCCACCACAATACGTTTCTGTCCACAAGAAAAAATAACAAGAACAAAATCCATGTTTTGGTGTTTCTGTGTTCGCTTGTTGCCATGAATGTTCAAAACTTGAGAGCACCCACGTCGATTTTCAAGAAGAAACGAGAAACTCATGATCCCAAAAGATGTAAAATCAATGAAAGTTGCTTTTTTTTTAATGATATGTAAACATATATGTGTGTGTGCGCGCTCCGTCCAGGTGAAACCCAAAAGAAATTCTCGCCATAAGAGATGAAACAACACTACAGAAACAGGAATTATCGTCTTGATGACAGTATTAAGAGGAAAGTTTTCAGTTTTAGAAGAAAAGCTTTGAAATTTTTGGATGTACAGTTGAACCCACAAACAAATTTTACCGAGTAAATGAAATGTGATAAAGAAAGAACAAAAGCATAGATAATTTCCTCTTCTTTCGCTTACAGTGTGGAGTAGAAGCGTGAGAGAAGAACTTGGAGGACAAGTGCAACGAGGAAGAAGAAGAAGAGATCAAGGTTCTTCTGATGGGGAAGAGAAGATCAGGAGGAACAGGAACACCAGCCACTATGTACTTGAAGATGACGGCTTGGTGTTCAAGCTCTTCCCACTGTGATTCAGTGAAAGGCACCCTAGTCGTCGCCATTGATACACAGAGAGAGAGAGAGAGAGAGAGAGAGAGAGAGAGAGAGAGAGAGAGAGTAAAGCGAAGGTGGTGGTTTCAGAGGACTGAGAGGGTTAGTTCAGTATAAGAAGAAGAAGAGTACAAGGGTGGTTACAGAGAAGAATTTGGGGTTTGGTCCATGGCATTAATGAAGCAGAGAGAGGGTTACAAGTGTAGAGAGTAGGTATGTTTTTATTGATAAAGCGTCCATTTGCGCCTGCAGAATCTCTGTGTTCCGTTCCACGTCCCCATTCTCTGTTTCACACTTTTGTTTTCTTTCTCCGTCGTTTGTTTCTTTTCATTTTCGTGCAACTCTTGTGTAACGTTTGGACCATTCCTTATCACAAAACTCAAGATTTGTGAATTTGGCTCTCTTTGTTACATTTTTACTGTCTTGTGTCAGTAATGAACAGTGAGGTGTACAGCTTTTCTCACTAGAAGCTCATACTAATGGCAAATGAGACTACCACTCACACGAGGTGCAGAGAGGAGGGCTACGTATGATAATTAACCTCGCAATCATTGAGATTAAGTGAGACTAATGAACATGTAAATGCAGAGAAGATTTAAGAAACTCAGAATAGATTTTAAGGTGGGAAAACTGATAATGGAAAAAGGGCAGTGAAGCCCAAAGTGGAGGAGTGAAGCAGGAGACTGTAATTTCTGAGTCAGTGACTGTGTGTCAGAGCTCTTTATACATTATGACCCTATCTGATCACTTCTCTGCTCTCTCTCTCTCTCTCCACTGAATCCCATGCACCTCTCTCTCTCTCTATATATATATACACACATATATATATGTATACATGCTACATATGTTTCACCATTATCACCATTTCTTGGTTGCTTTCTTGTTTCACTCGGCTGAATACTTCATGCCAAGGAAAGATTGAGACGCATTCTGTTGCTAATGTGAAAGAACAGGAAAGCAACCATTGCCTTTCTTCCCTTCTCCATCATATGTATAGAAAGTTCAAATCTTTCACCTACATGACTAATATGCAACCATGCATTTTAGATTCAATGATAAATTTGTACCTTAAGGAATTGCTAAGTTTGTTCTTAAAGATGAGAATATTGAAATGAATTTTTTTTTGGGTACTCTTGTAAATGGAAGACAATTGGTGGGTCATCATCATAATTAAGTTTTTTCACTAGATGTGAGGATTCAGATGGAAGACTTGTGTGTGTGCTCACTGAGTTACACAGGCTTTTACTGCAACTCTCTTTTGCTTTCTTTATTTTTCTTCTCTTTTATTTTTGTATATACATACGCATATCTATGTGCATATATATATATATATATATATATATGCATTGTGCATTGTAATCTTTGTTTTTGCTCTACTATTCTTTCAACTTGCAAAAACCAACCTACAACCACCACAACACTATTTGGACTTTCTTTCCATTTGGCAAATATAAAAGAGGGCAAAGCTGAGAACTGCAGATTTGTCTGTCCCATTGTTTTAGGGTTTTGACCAAACAGATGCCTCAACTTTGACCAAAAACTTGCAAAAAAAAAAAAAAAAAAAAAAAACCCATGTCAATGTCTTCTTTTTTCTTCTGGGTAAAAAACATATCACTATTTGTTTCCCCTTTGGAATCCATTGCCATTGGCCTTTGGTTTCCATCATCAAAATCAAGAACTATCACTTCATGTAATAGCAAAAACCATGTATACAGTGCAGACTCACTCAAAATCTAACCCAGTCTTACAACACAACCACAGTTAAGTTATGCATCAAGATTGTACCTTAAACTTCGAGGAGGGGCTTGGAAATGGAAGAAACTGAGCTGTTCTTGCTTCGGACAAACCCCAACTTCTGATGACACCAACTCTGCTAAGTATAATCTTGCATTCTCCGAGGTTTCCAATGAAATTATTCGCCCGAGAGACCCACTTTCATAGATTCTAATCTCAGAAACTCTTACAAATGGATTGTGACAGATACAATATAGTGCAAGCTCCTGTTACATCAGACCAGTGTGACTTTTTTCTTACCAACACTTTTGTATGGAAGGAACTCTATAGCTTCTGGATGAAGGAAAGAACGAGATCCGTATGTACAGAGAAGAGTTGAGTGTCCACAAAAACCTGCTTGCCAAGGCAATGACAATAGTCACAGAAAAGTAATCAGCATTTCTTTCAAGACAATGAGAAAAAGATAACAACATGAACATGTTTCAAGGGGTTGATCCATTGCTGAGATGAATTTCCCTTTACACTACCCAGGAGCAATTCTTGATTTTCTTTTACATCTCAAGCTATTGCATGCATAGGATTTAAGCCATCGCATACCCAAACGATAATGGCTATTGTTTCCAACTTTAACAAAAAAAAAATGGACGGTATTGTCTTACAAATAAAGCATCAAGCGATTTGCTAATAACATAAAACATATGGGGAATGCCAAAATGATAAGTGATGCAAAATACTCACCTTCATGAATGCGCGATGTCGGCTTGGGAATGAGTCGATGAAACTTTCCTTAAACAGAAGCGATACCTGAAAGAAAGGTTTTAGACAAGCTCAAGATCAATATACCAGGAATCCCGTATGCAACGAACAAAGTTTCATTGTAGAACTGAATATTGCAGTCCGCAGTTCCCTAATATTTACAGCAACATTTGATCATTTTTTTTTCCTTTTATTGTAATGTTACGTCCTCTTCACCAAATGACCTAAATGATCTCCCTGTGATAGTGTAGGATCAAAGAACAACAAAACATAACGGAACATGGATGTTTTAACTCTAGATATCTAGCTGATAGGATTGTGCTACGGTCCCATGAAAAAGATCTGGTCACAGGTCAAGTCCTTGCACTAACAGCTCAAGGTCAGGAGAATTTCTTCCTTTCTTCCCTATCTTCGCTAGCCAACAAAATACAAGCTATTGGGAGGAGAAAATCCTTTGGTCTTACTGGTTAGGATGCTATAATTCTGCTAATGTTTTATTCAATTGAACAAGGATACTCATACACCTAGACGCTTAGAAACCTATACTATCAAAAATCTTTCCTCTTTCTTCTTCCCCCAAACATTTCTTGTAACCTGTGACACCTTAAATATTGCAGAAGAGAACCTCTGGACAGTAGGGTGAAACACAAACCTTATCGTTATTGGATTGTACATTTGTAATGGTGTGCGACCGCAAGTTAGAGCAAAAAGAATCAAGGTACGACCTTAGGACACCGAGGAAACCTTTTGCAGCCTCCGCCTGTGAATAATTAAAATAAGGATCCAGTGAATGACGTAAGGATAATACTGAATGATCCCTCAAACATTTAATGTAAAAATACAAGGGAATAGGTGCCAACATACATCAAGCATATAAATCATGTTCATAAAATTATGGACCAAATGTGTTTCCCAAACCTAGATTGATTATAAATAACAAAACATATTGCTAGCAAATAAAATCACAAAAGAAGAAATACATTGCTTCATGGAAAGATAAAACTGCAACCACATATAAACGAGGGGGCAGAGGCGTTGAGACAGAAATAATCTGCCCATTCAGCACGCGCTATAGATCACTCTATTCAGAGAGAAGGGAGAGAGAGAGAGAGAAACCTGGACATCTGTACTTTCATAGATTGGTCTTTTCTTTGCTAGGTAGTTTTCTCCAACGAGCTTTGCGTGATAAGGACTCAGTGCCCTATATAACTCTCGATACTGAGGCAGCTGAGGGAAAGATGGTGACTTAATCTGTACAACACAAAGATGATAAAGAAAGAAAAGAACTTGTCAACTTCCTAACGCCAGAGGCATACAGTGTGAGATCAGAATGGGTGACAAGGAGATACAAGCCATTTGTTAGACGTCGTACATAAACAGGTGAAATACAAGGAGAACAATGTTTCCAAAATGTTTAGTACGAGAAATTTCCATGTTGAGAGATCAAGTAGTGCAATATAATGAGATGGGTCAGGTCGAGACTGACCAGGTTCTTGTTAACATCCACAACAATAACATTGGTTAGCTTTGACTGAACTACACTTGTTTTGTTCTTTACACCAACCTACAATCAAGCATAACCTCTTAGTCGAGAGCAAAAAATTAGCTTCTTATGATGAAGGGAAGGCAAAAAAGGATGCCTACTTTTAATATTTGTAATATGAAACCTAAATCACATTTCATTCTTCAACACCAACTTTTTCAAGCATGCAAGGATTTAAGTTCATAAACTCACTATGTAAGGTACTGGGGCATCCAAAAATTCCAGCATATCATCTGGCAAAACCTGGAAATCAGTATCTACCATTAGTCATAGAAGGTGCACCTCTACCTACAGATTGCTAAGTAGTCCTTACAAACCCCAGGATCATACCGGCATTAAAAGGCTTTGCCATTTATACGGGCGGATGAGGGGGATAATTGATAACACCGAGGCACATAAGAGCCCCTGCATATTTCAGGAGAAAGAAAAAAAGAAACTGAATAAGCTAATAAGTAAGAGAATTTCGGCATATGAAAGGATAAATCAGGCAATGTATAATTATGCATAGAACCAAATAATAATTACATGAACTCTAGTTTACCAAGTTAGAGCAGATTAATACAATCTGCTTCTCAAGCAATGCACCTGTGAGCACTGTCAACACCTACAAGAAAGAAGAGAAACATCAGATCAAAGCTCAATTAGTAACCTGGGCAGGAACTGCAACATTGGTCAACATTCAAAAGCGCTAACCAGAGGAAAAAAGCATAATCATCATCAGAAACAGAGTGCAACTCAGTGTCCACAGATTCCTAATAAACCATGCCTAGAAGACCATAATAGACCACTGGGAAACATGATATTATAGTTACCACGAGATTAAAACAACAATATATGTTTGCAAATCTCTTTACATCTTCATCACAAGTTTGGATTAGTATGTGAAAATTACAAGTAGAAGCAAGAAATCACATTGTCAAGCCGAAGTGATCCACATAATGAAGCAACAGCCCAAGTTGATAGTGCAGCTGCTTCTTCCTCAGCCATGAGCACAGTGTGTGCCTGAAGCCCAAATAAGGAAGAGAGGACCCAAAGGTCAAACATAGGTCAACAGAAATCATATGATGCAATACGTTCACGAGACCTTTAGCCACAATCATTGATACCTTAGCAAGTTCTAGACTAGTACTATGTGACCTTAGGTCGATACATGCAGCGGTATGCAATGCCGCTTCATCAGGTCTATGATAC